TGTTTGAAGTTCCTGTAGTTTTCACTGCAAAACCGAGTTGGATCCTGTTCTTCCCCATATATATGTATTTATAAGAGTTTCCAACAGAAAAGAATATTTGAATTCCCAAGAAGCTAGGTGAAGTATGGCTTTCATACACACTTATCTCACAGAACAGAGTGTGTGGATAGACGATCTTTCATCTAGCACAAAGGCACGGGTGGAAGAAGGAACACTTACTCTGGATTCTCAGGCTGTTTACATTTGCCGGTTTGAGTTTCCTGCAATTTTAACTGTATAACCGTGTTGTACCCATCACCTACAAATATTACGTATGTAGTGGAGATTCCAAATGAAAAGAAATTTTTTGTTCCCAACAAGATAATTGAAGGACGGCTTTCACACACAATTATCTCTCAGAACTGAGCATGTGGAGAGTCGTTCATTCATCTAGCACAACGGGAACAGGTTGCTGGGGAAATACATACTCTGGATTCTCAGTCTGATTCCTAGTGCCGGATTAAAGTTCCTACAATTTTCACTCAAAAACCATTTTGCAGAAGGTAAGTCCACATATATATATATAGGTAGTCGAATTCCCAACTGAAAACAAACATTATGTCCAAACAAGCTAAGTTGAAGGACGGCTTTCACACACAGTTTTCTCTCAGAAATGAGCATGTGGAGAGACTATCCTTCATCTAGCACAATGGGAATGGTTTGCAGGAGAAACACTTACTCTGGATTCTCAGTCTGTTTCCTAGTGCTGGTTTCAATTTCCTGCAGTTTTCAGAGTAAAACCAAGTTGCAGCCAGTATCTCAAAATATATAACTATGTAGTGGAGTCTCAAAAAGAAAAAAAATTTAGTGTTCCCAACAAGATAGGTGAAGGGCGGCTTTCACACACGCTTAACCCGCAGAACTGAGCATGTGGAGAGAAATCGTTCATCTAGCAAAAACGGAACGGGTTGCTGGAGAAACACTTACTCTGGGTTCTCAGACTATTTCCTAGTGCCTGTTTGAAGTTCCTGCAGTTTTCACTGTAAAACCCAGTCAGAGACTGAAACTCCCCATATATGTATATACTGGAATATTCAACTGAAAAGAAAATTTCTGTTCCCATCAAGCTGGTTGAAGGACGGCTTTCACACATAAATATCTCTCAGAAATGAGCATCTTGAGACATGTTCGTTTATGTAGCCTAAAGGGAATGGGTTGCAGGAGAAATAATTACTCTGGTATCTCAATCTATTTCCTAGTGCCAGTATGAAGTTCCTGCAGTTTTCATTGTAAAACCAAGTTGGAGCCAGTAACTCCCCATATGTTTGTATGTAGTGCAGTTTCCAACTGAAAAGAATTTTTGTGTTCACAACAATCTAAGTGAAGGACGGCTTTCACACACACTTATCTATCAGAACCTAGCATATGGAGAGACATTCGTTCATCAAGCACAAAGGATCGGTTTACAGGAGAAAATCAACTCTGGTTTCTCAGTATGTTTCCTAGTTCCTATAAGAAATTTTGGCAATTTTCACTGTAAACCTGAGTTGGAGCCATTACCTCCACATATATATTTATGTAGAGGAATTTCCAACTGAATAGAAACTTTGTGTTCCCAATATGGTAGGTGAAAGATGGCTTCCACAAACAATAATCTCTCAGACATGAGCATGTGGAGAGACGTTCGCTCATCTAGCAAAACGTGAATGGTTTGCAGGAAAAACTTTTTCTCTGGTTTCTCAGTCTGTTTCTTAGTGCCGGTTTGAAGCTCTTGTAGTTTTCACTGCAAACACGAATTGGAGCCAGTACCTCCCCAGATATATGTATGTAGAGGAGTTTCCATCTGAAAAGAATCTTTGTGTTCACAAAAAGCAATTTGAAGGACATTTCCACACACACTTATTTCTCAGAACTGAGCATGTGGAGAGACATTCGTTCATCTCGCACAGTAGAACGGGTTGCAAGGCAATCACTTACTCTTGGTTTCTGAGTCTGTTTCCTTATGCCGTTTTGAAGTTCCTACAGTTTTCACTGTAAAATCGTGTTGGAGATTGTACCTCCACAAATATATGTATGCAGTGGGTTTTCAAAATGAAAAGAAACATTGTGTCCCAGCAAGCTAGGTGAAGGATGGCACTAACACACACTTACATCTCAGAACTGTGCATGTGGAGAGACGTTCATTCACCTAGCACAAAGGAAAAGGTTGCAGGAGATACACTTACTCTAGTTTATCAGTGTGTTTCCTTTTGCCGGTTTGAAGATCCTGCATTTTTCAGTGTAAAACCGAGTTGGAGCCAGTGCATAGAAATACAAATGTATGTAGTGGAATTTCCAACTGAAAAGGAACTTTGTGCTCCCAATAGGCTAGGTGAAGAATGGCTTTCACTCACACTTATCTCTCAGAACTGAGCATGTGGAGAGACGATCGTTCATCTAGCACAAATGGAACTGACTGCAGGAGAATCACTTACTCTAGTTTCTCAGTCTGTTTCCTAGTGCCGGTTTGAAGTTCATGCTCTTTTCACTGTAAGCCCATGTTGGGGTCAGTACCTCCCCATATATATTTATGAAAATGAGTATTCTACTGAAAACAAACTTTGTGTTCCCAACAAGGTAGGTGAAGGACGGCTTTCAGAAACACTCATCTGTCAGAAATTAGCTTGTGGAGAGACGTTCGTTCATCTAGCACAATGGGAATTTGTTGCAGGGAAACACTTACTCTGGTTTCTCAGTCTGATTCCTACTGCCGGGTTGAAGTTCCTGCACTTTTCACTGTAAAACTGAGTCAGAGCCAGTACCTCCCCATATATATGTATGTATTGGAGTTTCCAACTGAAA